TGTACTTACAAAAGATGGTATTGAGCGGTGTCAAAGGCGGTCTAAAACTGGTAAGAGCTAGTCCCAATTAGGCGATAAAACCATTAAAATCAGGCATCCGACTGTTGGCCGCTATACACCTTCGTAATCAGTGATTATGATGGGACTTTGGGCGACCGGGGAAAGCAATGCGCGACAGACTGCAAAAGACCTCCATCACAAACTCACATCCTCAATCTATGAACAAAGAGTCAGTTATATATTCTTACCTTTACCTTTCCTCTGTTTTTCTCATATTGATATAGAGTGCGATAGGAAAAATGGGATATATCAAATCACTATCACGAGTCACAATTGCAGCAAGATGAAACGCCCTCGTCCGAGCCCAGTCCCTGGCCAATGGCAACATATCAAGGAATATTGTTGCATCTCATTTTTTCTCTTCTTCTCTACCATGACCATTTAGACCTGCGATTAACGCACGCTCTGCCTGAAATACCCTCTCAGCTTCTCGTCGCTCTTGTGCGCACCTGTCTAAAGCGGAAAATGTTCTTCTATCCTCGATATTAACTCAGTTCAAGCCTGGAGTTGATCCCGACGTATTTATATGGCTCGGTATTGAAGAGGTCAAACGATTTTGTTTGTCGTTGTACAGAGTGTGCCGGCAGTCCCGAATCCATGACCCCAAGCTCCTAGAAGACGCGCCCAGTTTCAGCCCTGGGAAAAGTCTTCTGTCTCTGACAGATCTGCAATTTGCATTGCCAGATAAAGGTGAGTTCTGGCATGCCACTTCGGACTTGGCTGCGCGACTCGCGGAAAACCCAGCCGCGTATAGCAATGAGAACATTGAAGAGAACTGGATTTCTCAAACTGCGCCGCTTTTGCAGCCTTGTGATGCAAAATTTCATTGGATATGACACTTTTCAGGATAATCTCCACGCAGTGTATCTCTCTCTTTTCTTGTACAAATACATGCATGGAAATTGAAATAACGGTGCAAAAGATAACATAGCACCTAGTTAACACTAAAAGTCCAGTTGAATTGAGCCGGCATATAAATTACAAGACATGATACTCTTGCCAGATATCGAGACTTCTGACGTTGACAATAATCGAAGCTACTACCCAAAGTCAGTCTTGTCTGTTAACTCAGCCTTATAATATAGACTACAATCCTGAAGCAATTCATCTAAGGTATCGGCATCTCCTCGATAATATTTTCTCAAAGCTTAAAAATAGACACTCAAGCCAATGCCACCTCATCTTCGAAATACGCAGTGAACACATCACCCTCTCTAAGAGGTGCTGCCACCGACTTCAGGCGTTTGTGTGCCTCACAGGTCGAATCGTAAAAGCTCATGTCATCCAGATTGCGGAAAGTTGTCTTCACAGCTAGCGTATAGCCCTTGGTTCGTGCATCGGGCAAAGTACGACCAGCTTGAACGGAGAGAATATAAGGCTCTGAATTCTGTATTTCAATCACGAACGTAGCGCTTGCCATTGTCAGTCAGAGAAAATGACAGCATACACCTTGTCAATGTGGATAGGCGGTCAAGGCATACCCTGGTTGCTTCATGAGCTAGTTGACGATATTCAGCCAAGAGGATGTCGATATTCTCCGGTTTAGGGATGTTGAACAAGGTAATGCGGTGGATGGTCATAATGATGGTAGGTGTTTTTTGTCAACCGCAGATGTATATTTTCAACGAGATTGTAGACGGGCGGAATGCAAAGGGACAGTTATGGTGGGGGAGACAAATACTAAAGAGTGTAAACGGTATATTTATTCTGACTCTCACATCACGGAGTCCATTTAGCTTCGCTTGCAATAGCCTGAATGCTATTTAATTAGCCCTCCGAACCCTGATCCGTGGGATAAGCCGTCGTTGTCGCCAAGAGTAAGATGGCGATGGAACCCCTGCTGGGATAGCGTGTGGGATTCAGGTATGGACGGTGCGCTATCCCAGGGGCATCCCATTGTTGCTTCGTATTGAGTTTCGTAAAGAACTGTCGCTATCCAGCGGGATCCCGTCGCGTCCGGTTCATTTGTTTGAGCGGTATCCCATCGCAATCCCAGATTGTAAATTCCAGGGTCCAGTTTCATCCCATAGTGTGTTAGCAATACTAGTGGTCATGGTTTCAGTACATACATCGCTTTTGTTAAAGCTCCACGCTGCTCTTATAAAATTCGAACCGTGCCCAAAAAATCCAAAAAGCAGACCCATCAGATCACTCGCAATCCATTTCTTTGCAGAGCAGCCTCGATAGATCTGGACAATAGCGCCTGATCAGTTGCAATGACTGAAGTTCTGAAAGGCGAATCCGAGCTCCAGTCTGCTCTGGCGGATTCTCACACTCCTAGCTCGATCTCTCAACTCAGTGAGAAGCATGACAGCTCCTCCGAGGAGGTGGAGAAGGAGGGAGGGAGAACCATCACCGGGTTCAAGGTTCGTTGGATCGGTCTGGTTCCTCCTGAACACTGCTAAGCTTTTGAACTATAGTGGATTCTGGTTGTGACCGCCATATTGTCTAGCCATATGCTTTTCGCCCTCGACAACACCATTGTGGCTAACATCCAACCGGCCCAGCATATAGCAATAGGCTATAGGAGATCCTTTTTGTCAGACCGCCAAATCTTCATTTTGATGGAAGAGATGTTGCGGAGAAATTAAGGTAGTGGTAGCCGTGGACGAGCTTTCCATGTCCAGGTAGTAGTAGGTATCATTTACACTGACCCCTCGCCAAAGCGATATGCAGTATACAACAACTATATATCCGAGTATGTACACATAGAATGATCCACTTCCTGACATGACCTTAGAGCCTCGTCACGGCCTGTCGTGGCCAATTGGCGTTCCCATTGTTAGGCTGCCCTCATGGCGCACGACTGCGAAACCTCTGTGACGCCTCCATGTCCAGGTTGGATCGAAATCAGGTTCACCACTTACGCACACGGATTTCTTCCAGAACCCTCTCTCGAAACACGCTAATCTCTATTTGACCTAGCTCAAATTCAATGGCCGAAATGTATTGAACTGAAAGATGTGCGCGTTGCGCGCATCAGCCCTGAAACGAAGGACCCAAAGGCTAGAACGAGAGATGGCACCATCAACATCTCTTGTTCGTGACTTGCGAGAGAGATTAGTCTGCTGTTCCATTCAGACTTAAGAAGCCCATTTCGTGGTGAAGCTCGGTTCCTTCCAGGGAAAGATCATTGTCCGCAATGTCTTCTAGTATGTCCTCGAAAGCAGCAGCAAACCTTCGAAAAGCACATCTCTGGGCAAGTAAATTATGATAAACATCGTTATGCAATCGATTAAAAGAGAGGTTCAGATCGCGAAGGAGGCCAAAGAGTCTGCTCTCCAGACTTTTTGCAAGTGTGCTCGGTTGGTTTGACTTTAAAAGCAGGAGGGGTAAATGGTCGTAGTACCCATTAGAGTTGCTCGGATTGCGTCGAAGTTGGTCTTCTGGCCACGCCTTACGACACCATCTTCGAAGCTTGCACAACAACTGTTGCGGCATTTCCAAAGTGATTGTTTCTTCGGGGGTTAGTTCCTCGAGAATCCATGCAATATCGCAAGATAGCCAGGTGATCTTTGAATCCACAAGCTTGCGCTGCAAATCCCCTGCCCCGATATCTTTAGGATTTTGGAAGAAACATTTTTCAAACTGTGCATCCAGGGAGGTAAGAAGTTCTTCCCACTGCTCTTTGATATACGATCGGTTCCATTTCCCGTCGATATTCTTTTCTGTATAATGCAATGAGAAAGTGTTGGAGTATATCACGTTAGACTTTCTTACCACCGACTTTCCTTTTTGCTCTGATCCGGCATTCATCTCTTAACCCCTTCATCCATGGCTCTTCAGTCCAGCTCTGCCTCCAAAGAGCAAATGCCTTCGTAAACTCTAGAACCAGGAGTTGCTTGAAGCAAGAGGATATTGGATAATAGTTAACAGCGTAACTTGGGTGAAATGCATTCACAAGGGTAGACGAAAAACCAAATCCGGTAAGCTTTGGGTTATCAGGGTAGAAACTCCGCCCTACTCCTCGGCTCTGAAGTTTCTTGACAAGAGAGTTTTGAGTCTCAGTTTTGAAGCAGCATAGAATGATATCAGGGTCTTTAGCCCTAGCCATATCGGCGAAAACATTCTGTGCTTCATTGATGATATCCTGGTGATCTTTTCCCGCGACTGTCTCATCTAGAAAAGGTATTGCATCAAATAAGCTGACATCGTCAAAACCCAACTTATCGTTGTTTACAGCAGAAATAAGATCCGACACTGCATTAATGGTTCGGCAGTTGCGTTTGCCTTCCATAAATCCGTCCGAGTTTTTCTGTTTCGAATGAGGCCGTTCCAGTACAATAAGGACACCACCCTTCAATTCTGGTCGCGCCATTTCGAGTCCGAAGCTCAGGTCACATATCGGGTAGTCACTCTCGTCAACCTCTAGAGATGATCCAAAGCTATGAAGAAGCTGAATATGGTCGGAATTTTCCTTGTCCCGATCGATACGTCTTGCCTCACGAATCACTCGCCGCAGTCGATGGTCAATAGGAACACCTAGGCACTCCATTTTGTTGCAGGTGATGTATCAGTGAGCTAAGTAAAAGGTGTTCAACGAGTATTCTAATTCTCAAGGATAATTTTTGCGTAAGGGCAATCTTGAGCATTGGTAGCAGACTTCAGTCTCGTCAGCAGATGTGCGGGGTCTATCTAATCTGACAATAATATCGTCGAGGCGGTATATGGCAATAAGCAATAGAGCGTCCTAGTAAAAGAGGGGCCTAGAACAAAGATCGAAGCAATCACAAAGAGGAAAACGTGCAGATGCATTGCATGCATGCACGGCGAACCATAAGCCCTGACACACCAGACTCGAAGAGGAAATGCAGGGGGCGAATCATGAGAGTGCGTGGCGGAACGAACCGTACATAGTTAAGCTGACACCAGCTACGCACGGGACACAATTGGTTATCCACCTTCAGGAAGGCCATTGGCTTCCGCGACGACGATCAGTGCGCGTCGCGCAAGAAACAGTCACCCACGTCTTGGTGGACTGTCCAACACTACAGGGATCAAGAAGAGAATTAAGAGAGAAGGTGGGGACGCATTTAACAGCGTGTCGAGTCTGCCGGGAGGCTCAAATGGTGTGAGAGAGGTAAGCCAGACACCGTCTCTCGGGCTAGGACGGTCACGGTTGTGCTAGACTTCGCAGAGGCGTCACAACGGTTCCAAAGTCGCGCGCCATGAGGGCAGCCTAACAACAGGAGCGGCAACTAGGCCACGATAGGCTCTAAGTTCGTTTTCAGGAAGTGGGACACGATACATGTACATATACGGATATATATAGTTGCTGTAGCCTGCGTATCGCTCTGCGAGGGGTCGGGGGTAAATGAAATCATCCATCCATCCATCCATCCATCCTGTAGTCAATCAGCTAGGAGAAACTAAGCGCACGATCTAGCATCAATGACTTCTAAGGTATTGTCACTTTGCCCCTAGCTTGTAATAATTGAGGGCCCTCAGTTTTTAAATCGTTCTTCTAGAAACAACCATGCTCCTGGGAACTACGAGACTTAGGGTCACGTGCATTTCCCAATACCCCACCATCCCCCAGACGTCCGACCAAAAGTCATTTCATCTGCTTACTGAGCAGAAGGGTGAGCAAGGGTGAGCATGGAGAATTCCACATGGTGCCCAACATTGCCCATCAGTCAATGCCTTATAGGGCTTCCACCCACAACACCTTCTATCGTCCCTCCGCAAAATGGCGCCAAGGCTCCCACCATCGAAGCTCGAGATGATCCATGACATGATACTTAGCAAATCCCTGAACACATCACAAATGGCCGAAGCAGCTGAGTGTAGTGAGCGTTCAATCATCAACATCCGCAACAATCTTCACCAATTCGGAAATGTCAGAGCGCCTCCAACTCGTGTCGGACGACAACGAAGTATCACCCCTCCGATGCTAGAGGCCGTTTGTGATCACCTTCTTGAGAAGCCTGGGCTGTACGTGGACGAGATGGCGCTCTTTTTATAGGATGAATTCCATATTCAGGTGACAAATTCGAGTCTCAAGCGGGCTCTTGCATCTGTCGGCTGGTCGAAAAAGGTGGCTCGACAAAGAGCAAAGGAGCAAAACGCCGATCTGCGAGACTTCTACCTACACAACCTATCTGATTTCCAATCCTATCACTTAGTCTATATGGATGAGTCCGGATACGATAAACGAATTGGTTTTAGACGGACCGGTTGGTCTCCGGTAGGTGCGACCCCTTTGCAGGTATCCAAATTCCATCGTGACCAGCGATATCAGATCCTTCCTGCATACGCCCAAGATGGTGTTGTTTTTTCTCAGGTATTCCGAGGCTCGACTGATGCATCTGTTTTTGAGGACTTTATTAAGCAGCTTCTCAGACATTGCGGAAAGTGGCCCGAACCAAAGTCCGTTTTAGTCATAGATAATGCATCTTTTCATCATTCTGAGCGAATCAAAGAAATATGTGCTACTGTAGGAGTAAAATTGGTTTACCTGCCACCTTATTCACCCGATTTGAATCCTATCGAGGAGTTTCTCTCTGAATTGAAGGCGTTTATCAGGCGTAATTGGCGGCGATATGAACAAAGACCTGACCAAGGATTCGCATCTTTCCTCGAGTGGTGTGTCGAGGTTGTCGGATCTCGAGAACGAAGTGCAACGGGTCACTTTCGCCATGCTGGCGTTGTTGTTGAAGACTATCATTGAGCGTCGGGGCTGATTATAGATCTGTTAGAGCACCTGAATAGTCTGCACCTCGTATATCAGGTTACCCGTATCTATGAAACGGGGTGCCCCCATTTTTGTCTGACAAGATCAACACTAGTTCTGTATAAGACAATTTCGTTGGCAAGTTTGACTAGATAATCCATGCATTACGTATTGATCTTGCCTAGGACTACATTGTAGGAAGTACATCTAATCGAAAGCAAATAAATGAGTAAATCCAAGTCTAATCACGCCTTGCCAGCCACTCTGACTGCGAACCTGCGCAATCAGTTTCTTACGTGCCTCACCCATCTATCGATGTCGCTTATGAAGCGGCGTGCAATCCCTACCGCAACTCCTTTTTCAATAAAAAACCCAGGGTCATGGTCCTCATGGATCTGTTCAAGATCCAGACCGTTGGCCAGCGTTACATCGCATGCCTGTCGAAATTGAGCCTTCAAATTGTCGTCAACAACATTTGTTTCTTGCCACGCGGTGTATTCCCTCACAGCCACATCTCGGGGCCCGTCAATTATGAGCTGATCTACTATCTGTCCATTTTGCGGTGGAGGTGTGGCCAATGCTGGAATTGAGTTGGTCGCCGGCGATTGTAGGTGAAGTTGCCCTCCCATGAAGTTGATATTGATAGGCGGGCAATTTCCTGGCGCGAGAATTTTGTTGCCCTTAGATTGTAGACTTTCCAATTTCTGTTGTTCTTCTAAGAAGAGTTCTTCGCGAACAGCGTCAGGGACATCATCTTGACACTCCAGAATGCCACCGCCTTCGACATAAGCGATCAGGCGTTTCAAATGATGTGTCCTTAGTTAATAGTGTTTTTTCCCATGTGGGTCCTGCCAGCAGTGCGGACCAAGATGACAAGACGGCGAAGGGCAACGTATCAAGTTGTAGACAGCCCGCCAGATCGATTGTTCCCCAGTTGTATACTATTCGGCGTCGAGTTATTCATCTCGCTCGTTAAGCATCCTTTTGGTAACAGATGACCTTCCTCTTTTGTCGGTTCTGCCTGTTACGCTTCTAGGGGAGTGGTCGTCCTCTATATAGTTGAAGATTATCCTCAGCCGCAACTCTTTACCGCTGGTATAAAATTTCCCCCAAACGAGTAATTGTTTTTCCACGGCGGACCAGTCAATATTGAGGCCATTAAACCGCTTTTTCAGGTCGTGTTGCTTGCGATCGTTGATCGACACAACAATGGATGTGTCGTCGGACCTGACCCTTCGTTTACGCGCAACTTTCTCCTCGATTACCTTATACAGCTTGTCCCTGAGGGCCAAGGGCCAGTAAGCACTTGGGGTCAACGCTACGTCCTGCTCCGTATCCTCTGATATGGACCGATTATTCACTTTGACTTTCCACTCGATAGTATACCGAATAAAGCTTGCGGGAAGCTCGTCGTCTGGCCTATTCGCTTCCCACTCGGAGAGCTGAAGCAGCTTATTGGTTTCTGGTGGAATTGAAAGTAAGGGCTCGGAACCGTCCTGGGGGCAACGGTTCGGTGAAGGGCTAAATCCATATTCTGATGGTGGCGTGTGTTCGTAATACCCAGGAGTTGGGGCGTATTGCGAGTCCTGGTCCGACGGATCGAGGTCCTGGGGTTGGGATTCATCACCGTTGGGATAGAAGTGGTTAATCATCGTCCTCAATTTCCTAATAAACCGAACTTCAGCACATAGTGGTCATCCAGTGTTCAACAGAAGGGGACTAAAGGAATCCAGCATTTGTAGGGCAGGTAAGTCGGTTGGTAAAAAATATTTCGTCCTACCAGTATTGTATCTACGTATGTCTTCGCTCGTCCACTATATTTGTAGAATAGTCGATTGAACGTGGTTAGCTAAAGGGGGAGGTGAGAAGTGGCCAGATAACCGACCGAATCTCCTGCCACCTCGGCTGTTTGGCTTGTTTGCAAGTGAATGGCTCTAGACACGCATAGCCCATACAACCATGATACGATAGCTATTTTTATGCCATTATATATTACCGTACTAAGATACTGCCAAAAGTGTGGGTCAGGGGGAATCTAGCTATATTAGGCATAGCGTTATGCAAAACAAAGTTCAGTAAAGAATTAAAGAGAGTGTAGAGATGAAACTGATTTCGAGCGCGTCTGTATGGAAATCTCGTTTGTTATAATTATATAAGAGGATTTAGCCATTGGGCCAAAAAATCATAACAACGATTGGAACATCCGATTGTCGCTGCAGCAGTATATATAGTAGACCCTACATCAGAATAGAAGAGAAGGAACCATAAACAGATAGTCAGCCTCTTTCTCGGTTTGAGGAGTTCCAACGACCCTTTATACCTGCCTACCGTCCCCTGCCTCCTCTGAGCGTTTTGAGCAGGTTGGATTGACAAGAGTCATGAGACAAAGCGCAGCCTGCCGATACGAAGATCCACCAACCCATCCATAACGGAAATCACTAAGGAGTCACGCGCAAGGCCGACGGTATATACGGCATTTCTCCCATTGGATTAAAGCGTTTCATATTCGAAAGTCCACGTTCTGCCTTGCTACGCCTCGCCAGAAGAGGGCCATAGCAAAGGAATCGTCTCCAAAGGGCTGCTTAGCGTGAGGATCAGCGTCCAGTCAGGTAAGGCAATATACGCAATTCTGTGGCTGAAAAAAAAAGTACGAGGGAAAACTCACGCTTAATATATATTGTGAAGAGACGGCTAAAGACTCTTTAGGATATGGTGACTATAGGCACTTATAAAATAAAAAAAAAAAACTAGTAGAGAACAGGAATAGGCGAAGAGGAGTATTTGAAGGTAATTCGAATTCCAGTTTTACTATATTTGTAGAATTATAGTCTCTTTTATAGATAACGACGACAGAGGCCCGGAAGATAGAATCCTTCTTCTACCAGGAGTAGATAATCTTAACCAGATCCTGCTATCTAACCTATTGCAGTCGAGGACGCTAGACTATACCAGTTTCATAGCCCATAATAACAATTCCCGCAGTTATAGTCTCGTATTGATCATAAGATACAGTATCGACTAAGGTCTAGGGCGTATGCGGTATTTTCGCTATTGGCCTATATGACCGAGCTATGATTTCAAGTTTTTACCGACTAGGTAGAGAGGGACCGGAGAGACTGACGATAATGATAACTGGGCGTTTAGCCAGGTAACTAGGAGCCATTCTATAAAGCTGGGCTGTGCAATGCAACCTTAGGTAGGGCGGCGGGAGAGGGATATACAGCGTCGAGGGTATACTGGCACTTTGTAGATTTAGAGGCCTACAGAATCAGAGACGAAAAGGCGTACTGGCAGAGGGTAACCTAGATATCTTTGTAGTATGGTACTTAGTCACTGCCCTAGGGAAGGAGTAGGATTATTAACACAAATTAACAGGATGCTGTATTATCCCAGTAGTTACGCTTCTAGGTAACAGGCATTGTAAGCTAGATATCGGATTAAGCGGCATCTCCGGTAGAAATGAAAGGGGCAGTATATTGGGCTGAAAGCAAATGTATAGTAGTCGGTAGGGGCCGGAGTAAAAGAAAGGGGGCGGCGATAAGTGCAAGATAGAGAGGCAGAATAATGGAAAAGTAAGAGAAAGGGAGGAGGAGCAGCGAAGACGGGTCTTTTATGTCAGCGGCATTGAAGGGAGGTTACGTGACAGCGTATTGGGGCGCTAAACCCAAAACGGCAAAACTAACCCGATACAGTAATTCACAGGTCCGCCGTTTACATACTACATACCGCCTTGTCCACCGCCCTACAATAGTCGCCATAACTCAATTTCTACATCTTACAACATAGGGGATAGTTACAGGGATACCCAAATTAAAATCAACTTGAATTGCTGCAGTGTTTCCACAAATTATACTTACGTTTTACGCATGATAACATGGTAAAAAAGGACACAAACCGACGATGCAGCATAAGAGGATTCCTCGAACTCACGCTCATCATCCACAGACACAAATTTAGCAACCCCCTCAGAAAGATGATATCACCGAATATCTAGCGTGAGTTCCACGTCTGGCGAACGCTGTTCTCGGCATTTGCATGAGCCAACTTCCTTTACGAAATCGTCATGGTGCGCATGCTCAACATCAACTCAAGTTCCGCTCTGTCCAAAGTAGGCGGGGTGGGATATCTAAGATCCTGGACTCCCATGAGGTATTCCACGACCCTGTTCTAATATTAGTACGCATACCAGGCTTGGGAAAATAACATGTCTCGTACTTGTTGTGAAAGTAGGTTGGGAAGTAACATCTGAATCCTCCTTGTCGGCTCTGTTCTATGTGCAGCCAACCTTTCGTGATACACGACAGCATAGCTTCACTTTGTGGGTTGAACGAAATGCTGTAATCACCGCTTTGCCGAACCTGGCGAAGAACTTCAAACTCTGCTTCGGGAGGGAAAAAGGTTTCGGGAGAAAGTGGAAGACCCGCGAAGTTGACAATTGCCGCGATCGTTGCTTCCATGATGCCGCGAATTTGAAAGAATTGCATGATTTCATAGTCATCATAGCTTATGGTTTCCATTTCGTCATCCGCGTCATCCTTGTAGAGAACCTCATACCACTGGCAAGATGTTAGCATGACAGAAAATATCAGACATTACTGACCATCACATACCATGTCACAGATATGCATGAATGCATCCATCAATTCAGGCTGGCCGTCGGTTAAGCCAAAGATGGTATCTTTCAAGATCTCACAAATTTCGTAATCAGAACCTCGAGCCTGGAAATGCATTTCCAGGTAGAGATCGAATTCTTCTCGGGTGTAGAAAAGTGTGAGGTCCTCGGAAAACCTAGTGGACAAGAAAAGACGCTGACGCTCATTGAATACTATCAAGTCACTCCCCATGTTCTGTGGCATAACACCCCTATCGGGGGTGCCAAATGCACCGAACAAACAGAAACTGGCCCCTGGTATGTTCGCGAGACGGTTCTGGTTCACTGAATTCAGAAGTACCCACAGCTCAGAGTTATTGTAAGTCATATGCGCATCATCAATGATAAACACAAACGTGTCGAGCAGAACGTTGTGGCCGAATGCAGCATAGCCTTGGGTGTGACAGGCCTCGACCAGGTAATGCAACGCGGTAGGACCACCCTCTAAACTAGGGGGAAACTGTTCGATCCAAATCGACTTGACTCCCTGTCCACGAAGGTAAATATGAAGAGACCGGGCGAGAAAGGTCTTTCCCGACGAGGGCGTTCCACGGGCAAGCACCACTCTTTGTTCATTGATGCGATTGGCAAGCTTCCTCACGGTTTGGTGTCTCGGTAGCAAAACTTGGCTAGCACTAGCATCACTTGGGTGCGCTTAAAGAGAATTAGAATCAGTTTGGCAGAGAGAAGAAATCCCTTACGCCCAATTTGGAAATGATTCTTAAGTGGATGTCCACACTCCCGGCAAGATATCGATAAGTCATTCACATCATACTGTCCTTGGCCAAGACAAGGGCAGCAATAAGAGCCGTTGCCACTCCAGTAGCAGACTCCAGCTGCCATGTTGCGCGTCAAGAATCGGCCAAATGTAGTTGATACGGAGACTGAAAAGGGCGGTGGAGTTGCAGCTGCTAACCCAACCCGAGTGTAGGCAGAGTGAAGTGGTAATGATTGAGAATAAAACAATGGGAAAAGATCAGGATTCAAAGTCGGCTGAAGCGAAAAGAGTGGGATGGAGATAGAGAAGACCAGGAGACAGTGGGACGATGAAAAGTAAACAAAGCACGTCTGACGCGACGGTGGAAGGCGGCGTGTCGTTCTTTCCCTTCTACGTGCTAGGGATCAGATAAGGTCATGGCCATGTACATACATCCTGTCCTTGTTGTTCCTATATACTTCGTCTTGTTATTTGATTGGCTACAGTCATTCTCCACCATGGAGCCTGATAGGGGCTGATGATTGGAGGGTTGGATTTCTGGTATTCTGCCAAACTTAACGAGAGCGGAGGGACATGTTCCGCCTTCGAGAGACATATACACCGGATTTTAGGCCGAGCGAGATGGATTTCCCTTTCCGTTTTAGTGCTCACCCCCTTGCCGCCTTTTGCTCACTGAGTAAAGCTGAGCACGCCCCTGAGTATTACGTAATCGTTAAACCCGCTCACTGAGCATCACATGATTATTACATAAGCTACAAAGTACATTTTCATTAAAGCATTGAAACTAACTTATGAAGATAGGAGTGCCTCGTTGTGAGGTAACAGGGAAGGGAATGTGGACCTGCGGATACCCTTTGCTTTTTGCTTTAATCGGGAGTTGGGGAAACAAGCAGAACCATCTGATATGGGTTGGCACGTGAGGAAGTTCACGATGGCTATTGAAGGAAGAAAGAAAAAAAAAAGTATTTTAGTCTTTCTGCTGGACGGAAGGAGGTTGGTAGTATCATCGTCGTGGGCATTGGCCCCGACAGATTTCGGTCTGTCAACTAGCAACGTTACTTTGTACATCCCCGAGAATGAAGACATCAGAAGCATTAATCAAGCATGTGCATCATTATAAACTCATCCCGGTAAAAGTATTCATAGAACATGGAGCGTGATTGGCGTTGTCATAATATTCATTATACCCTTACATTGCTTTATGCGGGTTACTCACATATCAGTCCATCACTCGTCTTCTCTGGCTAGCAAATGAGGCGGTGAATAGAATTACCCTTAGGAATCCTCCAACTTGGACCAGAAGGGTAGTCTATCTTGGTCCCTATATTATAGGTATTCCCAGTTAGAAACTTTTCTACTAATCTCAGAATACCCAAAAGGCTAGTTCTACCAGGCCTATCTAGCGTCGACCTAAGCTAGATAACTATTGGCTAGACCGGTAACCTAGGCTTACACTACTAGGTACATTAACAGTAAAAAATGCTTAGAAATCAACTCGATAATTGATAGTCTAACAAATACATAAGCCATTTCGTGGTGGGGAACAAGTATTGGTATTCCGCCAAAGTAACTCAGACGCGCTCAAGCCAGGCCTGAAACTGTCGTGATGTTAAAGGGAACACAGTTACGCTGCTGCACTCCTCTAACAAAGTATCTCCATCGTCCCCTTTGAACACGTACTGGACTGCGTTGCGTCCATCGCTAGTCTTCAGAACCATGTGCTCCGTGATTTCATCTGGAGATCGCATCCTGCTAATAACAAGGTTTGGCTTGCCACAAATGGTTCCAATTATAAGCTTAGCAAGTTTGTACTTCCGGAGCTTAGAGGGGAGCTTTTTCCCCTGTCGACAATGAAAGATAAGTGACTTCCATTCTGCGTTGGGCCAATAGTTAAATTGGATATCGGGTATAGAGAGGGACTCAATGACCGAGTTCGGGATACTGATATGAATAATGACAACCCCGCTGCACGTACTGCGGTGCTTGATATAGCAAGCATACAGTTCGGCCACTTCTCGGTCAATAGCGAAGTAGAGATCGTCCTGTCTTCCGGAGAAATCACAACGTGATCGGGAGATAAGGCATCCGAAGTCTAGGTTGCCATTATGGTCGAATAATTCCGTGATAAGAGCTTGATCAATTCCCTTGTAGATGGTTGTATGGCCCGGTGCTCTTGAAGCTGCAGTTGTTGCAGCTTCCGATAAAGCGGTTTCATGCGATAGCCAAGGAACCATTCTCAAAGAATCTGAAATTGATCGCCGTCCAGAACTACTTTGTCCAGGTCGGGAAGCTTCCCGTCGACTAGCCATATCTCGCTCACGGGAAGCTTCTTGTACCGCCTGGAGGGCTCGGTTGCGTAACTGAAAGGTGTCCCGAATCCAGGACTTGCATGAGTCGGTTAGGCGGATCGATCGGAACTTGGGATCCATGATTGCCTCCTGAAGCTCGCGAGTGATCCCATATAGATTCATACAGTGGAACCATTCGGCATCATTCTCTGAGCAGGTATCGGGAGAATAATCAAGGTGACCTTCGGCGACGTCAATAAACAGGACACCATTATCAGTGTCATCAGTCTCCCTCTTAGGCTCCCCAGGTGGCCAGTTAGTCCAATACTCCCAGATAAGAGTTGCAGTTTCCGAGTTATAGCCGAGATGCTCGAGTGCGGCCAAAGAGACGAGATGATCCGGGATACTGACAAAGGAATCGGAGCTTGAGGAGATCGATACGGGGGTCAGCGGAAGATGCTGTTCTTCTTCATCGCTAGATCGGTTTAAACGTCGTTTATGAATACGACGTGTTCCATCGGACGAAGGAGAGCTGACCAGCCCCGAGTTTTGTAGGGTTACCGCATCATCCGGAACCAGGATATTTGTCTGCATGCCGTCATTGCTGGTCGACATAATGAACTTTCGATGCGCGGGTAAAGGTTCCGTGGTGACCTGGCTTCGTTGAACGGGTGTGACAGCAGAGAATCCGACCGAATAGCCACAGGTTCTCTTCAGACGTATAACGATCCACAGAAATGTTGCTCACTAAACTAATAATTGGATATTTCTGAAGAATGATGCTGAGTTCTCTACCAGAGGTAGTTGATGGAAATGGCGTAATGTGGTATAGCTTTCACATAGAAAAATAAGTACCGTTGCCCTCTTAGTCGGCGGCACCTCGCCGCCACCGCACTCCAGGAAACAACTACTTAGGCCGCCAAGATTCTGGGAAAAGAAGGAACGCGAACCAAGAAAAGCAAAAACAAAAATCCATAGAACCGAAAATGAAATAAATCTGATGTTTTCTCTGATCTCTCATACACTTTCAAGATTGAGACCGAAAAAAAACTCAGTGAGGTTCAAATAAGCTCGGCTGTCAAAAAAATCGGGCCAATCATAGTAAAATGGTGGTGAAACAGCGGAGATCAATCAACTAAAAATCAGTTCATGATTATTGGTCAGTACTCAGATACTCTCTCTACAAAATCAACAGCCTCGTCCATGGTTCAATTAATACAGATCAACGTAGGTGATGCTTGCAGTGTTCTCGCCATTGGTGCTTTGTATGAAACCACTGCATACATTTGTAGTAGAACTTTATGTCCAACTTGCTAACTCTAAACTGAGAAGCTTCATAGCCGCGGATGCATTCATGAATATATCTACTTCAGCTGGAGTTCGCCAGTCTGGGCAAGTCAGTATTAATCATCCCATATGACATTCTTTACTCACGAGTGAACATCTCCTTGGCAGCTTGCAATAGGGCATTTTCCATTGACAGGTGTTTCATTTGGTAAGTATATTACGTTGTAGTCCCACGAATACTGCTTCTGCAAGTCCTTTATGAAGAGGAGTTTCTTATTAAATGACATCGGGTCTATAGGCGATATGACTGCTGCTAGGCGACCAATTTTGGGTATAATGAGCGCAAGGGCACGTGTACAAGCATTCCTTTCTGGCTCGTTAGGTGATTTTTGCCCTCCTGATAAAACCCTCTAATCTTGCCTGTTACGAACATATTAGGTCCGGTAATTTGTAGGAGCTGAAAGGCGGAGGCGAGTATAGGTTTTCCTATATTATAGTCTCTTGTACTTTTCTAGGTCTTTGTTACCAGTTATATCTGCCGAGCCAATACGGCTTCTTATTTTAGTAAGCTTATCACTTTCTAAGATAGATTCTTTAATCCTAGCAGCTAGGTAGCCAGGTAAATCAGGTTTACAGAATTACTTATAATAGCGATCGTCTTTCTCCTCGTTAAGGACATAAGCTATAGTATTAATGGACGAACAGTGGGCTATACAGCTCGTTTCATAGGTTTTTCCGTCTTTATAGCTATATAGTTGTGAGACTAATGCTAAGCCGTATCGACTTATTAAATGTGAGATTTTATCCTAAGAATTGTAGGTAATTAGAAGGCCTTACTATCGACTTTATTCCTAAGCGCTCGATAGATATCATGAATTTTCGGAACTTTGAAATAATTCGCTTTCCTGAAGTTTTGGCGAAGAAAGTAACAGAATCTTTCTATTGTTAACGTCAAATCCTGTATCCCCTGTACAGTCACGTTCCGGAATATAGGCTTCTCTAACGTATCATGCCTCCAGCGTAGGGTGATTTTATCCTTCCCTTCGAGTAACCGTATTTGGGCTAAATCTCTAAGGGTATTGATTCTGTAAAGTATGCCTTAGTTAATGCTAATGCTAGTAAGAAGCAGTCCTAATGCGAATTAAGGTCTGCTATGATCACAGATACCTATGCTAAAGCTATAGGGCGAGTTAGCGTTTGTGGAATAAAAGGATAAAGTAGTATATTTAGGGAATGAGGTTATTAACTTATATAGTATACTCTAGGTTTCTATTTTTTTGAGCCACTATTCATTGACTCGCTACCTAATATCCTATGGTTCGTTAGAAGAAGTAGAACGAAATAAGACGAGGTCTATGTACTATTAAGTATTAATAGCTAGATAGAATATATAGATAGGGTTGGATATACCTTATAGCGAAGACCCCTCTCTTGCTAGTGCTTATTTCTCGGAATGAATGCTCTAACCCTTATACTGGTAAAAATATAAAGCTGTAGAGCGAATAGAAGAAATACTTTCATTGTTCTATAGATGAAGATAGGATTATCGACCATCTAGATTGAAGATACGGTATAGGTATAGTCCGTCTTTATGAAATTGAACTTTTCTTTTTCCTTTTTTATAATGACTTTTTGTTTGGTTAGAGTTCCGCTGATCCACTGTGATAGGGTCAGCCTTAATACTTAAAGCCTTCGCAAAACGGACTATACTAACTCTGTACGTCTCTGAGCGATCCTATTTAGTAACTGTATTTCCTATAGCTGTCTCAAAGCTACCGAAAAGTCTCTCGGCGTAAGCTAAAGTAGTGGTCACTATAGGCCTTCTATCTAGGTCGAGACGCCTTTTAGTAGAATACGCATACTACCGAATAAATTCTTTGATTTCAGTAATTTTGGGCGCCGGAATTCCCTTTTCTAGCTCATAACCATCAGTTACTCTTCCGCTTTCAATCAAAAACCTGAAAAGTCAATAAACAAGTAAATGAGGGAAAAGCATTGCGAGGCTACTCACTCGATCCAGAGCTCGATGTACTGCAGATGAAGGGCTTTGGACTCGTCAGTATGTTTATGTTTACCACGTATGGCATCATCCTCTCGGTAGGCGTCCGGTTGGAACCCAGTTTCTTTGCGTCTCGCGCGACGCCGTTCCTTTGCTAAATCGCAAGTCTGCCGCTTCATGCCCATAATCTATGATTGGATAGGGACGCTGGAAACGCTGGAAGGAGAATGAAGGGGATGAAAGGAAATAGTGAGTTCTAATAATCGATTGTCTTTGGGGGGGGGTTTCGCTGTATTTATAGCCCGACTAGATGCTAGATACCTCGTGAAAGTCATCCTAGCCATAGTCAGGATAGGGTACCTGAATTAGCTATGGATCTTCATACGTCATCATTTTACGGTGGTCATATTGATGAATACATTCCCTAATGCAGGACGCAATCAACAAAAAGGACGGTCAATGCTTAAAGATTTTTAATTGCTGGGCGCTAGCCTGCACAGAATAGATGGCTGATGAATGATCCACCTATCACGTGATTTCATCTGATCATTTTATGCCTTTATTTTCAGGCCATCAAGATGAGCATGTCTGTGCGCTGACTGAGCAAACCCGAGTGCTCACTGAGCATACCCTGAGCACTCACTGAGCACTCACTGAGCGATATTTGAGAAGTACTAAACAATATTTTTTTACATTACTAAGCATACCCTAAGTGCTCACAGTGATCACCTGTGCTGTGAAATACTCAGTGAGCAGGAGCCTGAGCGCCCTCATAAAAGCGGCGGCACCCCAATCGGGAAATTCGCGACCGTGGCCTAAAATCCGGTACATACAGGTACATATATAGACATAGTAAACAATCTCCGAAGTGATGCTGTAGTTCCGCCATTGAGTCATCTCATGTGTATTTCCTGTAAGCTGAAAGCCTATCTGGCTTCATAGTGTAAAGCCAGTTGAGGAATCACTTCTACGCAAGTATTTTATATCAAAAGCCGTTGTTTCTTTTTATCCCATTCTATAGGTAGCGACTAACTATCCCAGAAAGGGTTCAAAAAGTGTGTAAAAATGAATTAATATGATATCTCAAAAGTAATTCAAAGCCGCACGGTATTGAAATCTTCATTCCAAAGTCTCTATATAATTCTATTATGAAAAAACTCGTAAGTCAGTTGTCGGATCCAAAATGTAGTCTCGGCTATGGCCATCACGGCTGAGGCAGATTCATCACCATCCACTCCTCAAATGGGCTCTCTATTCCGTTGGAATTAACCCCAAAGTGTTGATTTTGCTGGGCGGGCGACGTGAACATCCCAAGGGAGCTAGTCATAACAAAATGGTCGGCTACAGCTTTGGTCAGATCGGTCAAGAGAGGAGGTTTGGTATCTGAGACTTACGCTCAAATAAACTCATGTTGTCTGGAAATAGTAGTTCCTCGTCTGAATTTTGGCCTGTGCCTTTGGCACAACTTCCCTGGAAAGCGTTCGTTTGATCATTGTCTTGTACACCGTGGGAAATATCTTGGTTAAAAGCGAGGTCAGGTTTACGACCGTCGCCGGCCGTAGCGAGCACAAAACTAACAGTCTCGGCCGCTTTCTTTGTCTCTTTGGAAGTGGAACTCTTTCGCATCCAAATGAACCTAGAAAGATGAAGGGCCGCCCGTATATCTTGTTCCCGCTGTATCGTCTTCCCACGATGAAGAATTGAACATAGTACCATAGTAGCAGTGAGGAACTGGTGGTTCATAATGGAAGCCACTCGAAATCTCATGGTATAGAGCTGACCACCTGGACATGTTTCCTCATCAAGCACATGTTAGATATTCAGCATACCCAGCGAAGCGGCCAAGCAGGCTTTCCGCGAGTAGCTCATCGAATCATAATCCGCATCGTCCGGACTTGTATATAGAAACCGGCGGTGAAGCACAATCTGCCCCTTGTAGATCATATGACCCAAGAACAAACGCGAAATGATGACCTGCAGAGAATCTGTCACACTAGTGGCCATGGACTTCATCTGCAAGAGGGGAGGAATACTGGCTGCCGCATCTTGGAGTACGCCGTCGACGCGCATCACCTCTGCATAACTACATGGTTTAACTGCATCTGTGAGATCGGCCACTATCCCCAGTGCTGCAAGGATACGTCGTCGTGCGATAAGTCCTATGGAATTCGTGTATTTGGTCAAGGGACGTGACGGAGGAAGATCGGTGGACTGTTCGTCAAAGTCCGTGTCATTCAAATTTCGCGGTTCCATTGTGTCACATTTCCAGTCGGAGATCATGTGTGGCATACCCATTTGGTTTGACACAAGTATATCACCCATTAGCACTGTCGCCCACAGTCGGCGACGCATTCTCCCTGAAAGGGGTAAATACCTGGGAAATGACTGGGATCGCGATGGTAGCCCATCCGCATGGCCAGGTTTACCTCCAAGGCCAGCAGATACCAGGTATCTTGATCCACGTCGGTTCGAAGACAAAACTCGACATAGACGTAGTTAATGACTGTCTGCAAGACGTACGGTCCTGCTCTAGTGTACTCGCCTAGCACTAGGCACTGGACGATCTTCTGTCGAGAAGGGTCGATCTGAAGCGATAGATGTTCCACTTCGGCATCGAATGTATCAGTAGTTATATAAGCAAGGTAGATCATGCTGAACGGAAGACCAATCCACATGATTGGCACGTTGGATGCATTCGTCCAAAATTCCTCATACTACTTCTGTCAGTGAAACTGTTCACTGTTCAGCGTGAAGAACACTGACCTCTCTTAAAAAGCTTGGGCCGAGGAACAGCTGCTGCAAGAGTAGTCAAAAGTGTGGGACGAAGTCGGATATCAAGTATGGGAGGATGAAGAGAAGACTGTCCTAAAACCGCCATACAAAGCGTTTCTGGAAGATCGAGCTGCCTTCTTGAAAGAAAATGGGCCCCTGGGGAAAATCAATTTGCGTCTTTGACCCTCCTGAATTAAAAGGATTTCTTACATTCCCCATATCGCAGCAGTTTCTTGTCGAGATCATGATATGTAACCATCTCACCTTTCCACCGAGAGGGGCTGTTATGGAAATAGGGAATCATGCCCTAAGAAACTACTCACACAAGTGAGACCCTCGAATGAACACCCTAATTGCTCTAGTTTAAACAAATCTGATTCCTTCATATGCGGTGACACAATCTGAGGAAGTTCTACATATACATCTTCCGATTCAGGTAGAAGGTATATATTTCCAACACATACTTGATCCCACTCTAAACCGAAAATAAACGCAGATATTAATCATAAATCGTAGCCCTGTCCTCTCACAGCCCGGGAGTCTGTGCCCCTTCCCCGATCCCCATCAACCCACCAGCGAGCCCGTTCATGCGACGATCCAGCAAATCCTCTTCACTATCAAGGGAAGCGATGCTCCGTCTTCTCGGACGAACTATACTCGGACTTTCAGGTGCACTATTTGTCTCGTCCGGATCGAAAGGGTCAGAACGACCCGCTCTTTCCAAGCATCGGAGCTTAGCGATGAAATCCTCCTTGGCGTTGCGGTCATCTCCTAGCGATGTAAACCCTGTAATCCGCGAGGAAGCGAAAGAGGAACGTGATCTCCTCCGACGAGTGCGGTGTTCAGGCTTTGATGCAAATGCATCCTCGCCACTAGCAAGCGTGGTCTTGCTCATGCTCATCTCTAATGGTCTGTCGTCATCACCCGAAGACTCGCCAGTGAACTTGCGACGGTGGTTACGTCCGCTTTTTGGGGCGTTTGATTTGAGGGAAGTACTGGCATTCAAAATACTCGCATCCCGGTCAGGATCAAGTAAATCCGCCTCGAAGTTGTTAGTCTTGATAATTTGGAACAGGCTTTCTAGCCAGTCCGCACTGCGATGGATATACTTCCACGCGTCGGGGAAGAAGCCAGCCATCTGCATGAAGCCGTGTGAAATACCGGGGATCAGGGAGATCTCGACGTAGTTTCGCTCGTTGAAGGGGCGATTGGCCCTCTCCAACCCTAGGTCCTGGCGCTCACGGAAGTGATGCAGCTTTGCTTGACGCAGTCTGCCTGCAAATATCACCGTGTCATCGACTAGAGGATCTCGCTCTCCGGTCATGATATATGTTTTCGGGAAGCGGGCAAGTAAAGCATCTGGAGCCAGGACGGGAGACAGGAGGAAATCGGTGTTGAAGTCAGGGCGATGGTGGGGTCCAATATAGAGAATGATCATCGCACGTGTCATCTCAGGTGTGAGAATGCGGTCGTGAACATAGGTAATCATGGACGAGACGGCTAGTCTGGTCTTTATTGGTTTGACTTCATCTTCTGCTTTAACGGCAGGCTTCGGGGCTAGGTCCTCGCTCTTTTGGAGTTTCTTTTCCAGTGCTCTGGCCGCTTCAGTGGCCACATTGGCTTCTTTGTTATCCTTTGCCTTCTCCGGTGGTGAGATAGCAGTTAGATCTTCGACCGAACGACCTGGCGATGTGAATGGTGTGAGTTTACGGTATTCATCCTGTTTCCGTTGCAGAACACCGCGGTTTGTCTGACGGGTGCTCTTCTCCTGGATCAATGACATCTGCTCATCGCTCATCCAGCTCTCAACCTTCATATTCAACGCAGGGTATCCCAAAACCACACCATCCGGGGCCGGAAGCACATCATCCCCACGCCAGCCCTGAGCCATCGCAGACTGCAACACCATCAAGGTCATGCCCACTGCCAGGTTGCCACCGGCGCTCTCGCCAGTGACAAGGATCCTAGGACGAGCCCTACCACTCAGACCCACACAACGACCGTTCGTGGCAATGATGCTATGGTAGACATCGTAGCATTCATGCAGCGCATACGGGTATGCGAATTCCGGTGCCTTCTTATAATCGATACTCAGAACGGGAACCTTGAGCCGTCCCGCCCAAGACAATAGCTTGTCCTCTGAGTTTCTGGGACTCATAGCCACAAACCCACCACCAGGTACATCCAGCACAATGAGACTCTGATCTCGGAGCGCACTCAACGGACCATCGAAATAAAGCCATGCATTCACTGGGTCGGTGTACACAGACTGTGCCGGGCGAGGAATTCGAATTGCCCGAGCCGGGAACTGAGTCATTCGCGGCCGTAGCAGTTTTGCCAATGACCACAGGTAAGGGGTGGTGGGTTTATTCCAAGACACGCGCAGGTGCTCCAATGTCAGGGTAGCACGGACCCGGCGAACCTTCTCATCGGCTTGTTCAGCAGCGATTAGGTAGTAGGCTGTGAATACTAGTGAGGCTATATCTCGGAGCCATTTTGACTTTATGTTCATCGCGGTCCAAAACCCAGCATCCAAACCAGTGGTTATCCATGTTGCTCGGAAGAAGGACCGCGAGTACATGTTTGCCAATGGTTCAGGACATTCTAGCCCGACAATCTTGGCGAAGTTCCGGCTGAGGTAGAGCCAGAGGAATATGATCACTGTTGTCTGCCATGCTGTCAACTTTCCTGTGAGGCGGGCTGAGAGCGATCGAATAAACGGCGGGCCATGTCTATCTGCTCTGTTCGACGTTCAGCATTTGGGATTTATTAGACAGATGTTGACTTTATATGCTGTACCTTAATAAGTAAACCGACCAGAAGGAAACCACTGCAAATACTTGGATCTTGCGGAAGCGGGTCGAAGGCCTCCCCAAAACATGGTCTGAACATCGATTAGTCTGGTTGGTTGCAGTGGGATACATGTTGCATACCTATCATTTCTCAAGGTTAGGGCTGAGTCTAGTCAGTCTACCCAGTTCAGCCGGTAGTGTGTATGTGTATGTGTAGTCTATGTGAAGCCAGAATAAGAACGCAAGGCTCAAGTCTAAAGAATAATAACAGTCACAGAACCAAAGACTAGTGACAAAGAGACAATTTTAGACAAGTCAGCCACAGTGAACAAAGACATAATGCCATCAATCAGCAGCGAAGTCCAAGTAATGCAACCTCGTCATTGGAGAAAAGCCCTGGGGGAAGCTGAATCACATGTCAACAAAGTCCCACTTTCACATGCCAGTGACGACATCAGCTGACCGATTCAGGCCGGTTGGTTTCAGTCCTATGTTTCGTGCTTTTATATCATTTTATGACAAAGTATCTGTGGATATATGTGCATTACAGACCTCCACTCTATTCTACATCTTTCGTCGGCAATAATCACGCCCGTGGCTAACCTGCCAACTGCACAACCAGACCTCCCATCCCATACTGAGAAAGCCCGCAATGCAGATACCGCCGGAGTCGCTGACAGTGGTAGCTCCTAATGAGAATTCACGGTCCTCCTTAGGCACACGTTCGGCAATCTCAGCAAAGGTATTGACATATACCACACCACCGAGAAGGCCCTCCCAGAAAACAATGATAAACACAAGCCATACAGTGGGGATAAAATCAAACATAGCATGGAGGGTTAGCAACACAAGGTTGACCACCTGCAGGAGTGATGGCAGGTACAACTTGTGGATGCGGAAGAATGGGGTCGAGGAGCGGGATATGAAGACGCCAACTTGGTATATGGCATTATAGGTGGGGTAGAACGAGCGGAAGTGGTCGAAGGGCGATTCACGCAGAGGAAATAGCAGAGTTGGAGCCACACCTTGGTTGATCACGTACTCGGCGATATATACCAGTAGCATCGGGATCATGCTAGATACCTGTTAGCCTAGATTTGGGACTATCGAAAGACCCGGATACTTACAAGGGAATGAACAGTCCCTTGATACGACGTAGATTCATGCGTGTCTGGTCCTGCCAGGAACCACCTTGATTGACATGGATGGACTTGTGGGCGGGGGAGTTGTGCGACACTCCCAAGAGCCCCTCGTCTTCTCCACCAGCGCCATCGTCCACTTCATCTTCCTCCACCGGGCCCCCACCCTCAACGGCGCGATAACTATCAGCGTCGGATTCAGCAGATCTTAGGGGGGACCTGGGTAGCACGACAAAGAAGCTCAAACCCATGATGGCTGGTAAGCAGGCCGAAACCAACAATGTGACATGAACGGAGAAACCCAGCGCCGAAGTTGCAACGGCATAAGCACCAGCCCCGACCAGCCCAGCGGCACCAGTGCCACTCCCCCACGCCGCCAGGCTGAACGGGCCATAAAAGTGCGTGAGACCCACAAAGCTCAGCTCCCCAGCACCGCAAGAAAGGCTAGCCAGGATGATTCCAGCAATCTTGGACGATATCGTTCCCCCATCGGTATAGCCTGGGCTCATAGCCACGACCAGCATGCCCACAGTTGACAGGAAGGCGAAGACGAGGACGCGGATCGAATATGGGACCAGGTGGATGAAGTATGGGGCGACGAGTTTGGTCGCAAATGACGGGATCACGTCTGCGAGGAGAACGACGCCTTTAGGTACATCGGGTCCGACTAAATCTACAGCTGCGGAGAGGATGATCACATATAGGACATTGTTGATAAGGCCTGCCGGTATGGGTGTTAGTTCATAGTTGAGCTAATCAACTGGGCTGGTTTAGGGTGCGCACCGAAGAGCCAGAAAGCAACACAGACTCGAGGGTCTGCACCGCTGAAGGCACCACTAAGACGGGCGCTCAAACGTTTCCAGAAGGGAGATGATTGCTCTTGGGGTGGAAGCGTTGCGGCATCCTCATCGGACACAGGGAGAGGCATTCGGTTGTTGCGTTGGGAAGTTTAGAAAAAGCTACAACAAAGTGACAAAAGATATTCAGTCCATATTGATTCTAATTGAATATTCAGGAGAAACAGACAAGAATGAATACGGAGGCACGTCGAATCAAGCGCGAAGAGTGACGACGACTCCTTATCTCCAACCGATCCACCGCCTTCCGCCTTACACGTGGCTAGCCTCTCCACATAAATCCTTGGACACACGACACTTTTCCTTTATTGCTCTAGTTTATATGATGAAAATATGTCCTGTCATATCCAACGCAATACAAGATGGTATAAAAGGAAAAACAAAATCTTAACCGGCATTCAGACAAGACACTTATGACTTGGCCACAACCGAATCCACAGCCTGCTCGAAAATATTCAGGCCAGCCTGGATCTGGTCTTCGGTGATCGTCAGGGCGGGAACAAATCGGATGCAACCGTTACCAGCAGTAATGATCAACATGCCACGCTCACGGGCAGCATTGATAATATCACCAGCCTTAGCTATGTACTCTGGGGTGAGCTGAACACCCAGAATCAGGCCGCGCCCGCGGACCTCGGAGATCACACCTGGGAACTTCTTCTGTATGGCCTGGAAGCCCGAAACAAAGAGATCGGACTTGGCCTGGACCGACTTCTGGAGCTCCGGGTCAGCCAGACGCTCGACGATGTGGTGAGCGACGCGGCAAGCCAATGGGTTACCACCGAAGGTGGTGCCGTGGTCACCGGTCTTGATGTGCTGACCAACTGTCTTGCCAGAGACAATAGTGGCACCGATAGGAATACCGTTACCAAGAGCCTTGGCGGTAGTCAGGATATCGGGGTGAGCAGCCTCGCCAGAGGATGGGGCGAGAGTGGGGTGAGCGTGGGCCCAGAAAGTACCGGTACGGGACAGACCGCACTGAATCTCGTCGAAGATCAAGACAGCGCCAGTCTCGTCACAGCGCTTGCGGAGAGCGGCAAGGAACTCAGGAGTAGCAATGTTGACACCGCCCTCGCCTTGGATAGGCTCAACGATAACACCGCATGTCTTATCAGTGATAAGAGTCTGGAGCTGGTCGATCTGGTTATAATCTCCGTACTTAAATCCGGGAAGCATAGGTGCGAACGGAGTCTGATACTTAGGGTTGGGGGTGGCCGAGAGGGCGCCCATTGTACGGCCGTGGAACGAGTTGTTGAAGGACACAAACTCGTGCTTTTCACCTGAAGGGTCCAGAGTGCGGCCGGTCTTGCGAGCGAACTTGATGGCGGCCTCGTTCGCCTCGGTTCCGGAGTTGGAGATGAAGACCTGCGAGGCATCGCGCATAGCACCGGACTTTTGAGTCAATTCAATCAACAATTGACTCAGAGCACCAGTCCAAGGGTTGTGATAGAGGTTCGAAGCGTGGATAAGAGTTTCAGCCTGTAATTGGGGTCTTTTTGTAAGCAATTGATCGCTATACAGTCCATAAAATCATCTCGCACCTGCTCCGCGATAATTTTCGCGATCTCCGGGTCACAGTGACCAAGAGAGTTCACTGCAATCCCCGCCGTCAAGTCCAGATAACGTCGGTTCTCCATATCCCACAAGTAGCAACCCTGGCCCTTCATCATCATAGGAGCCGGGCGAACATAAGTCGGGACCATGAAAGGAGCCCGCTCATTAATGAAGGACGCCGTGACTGAGTCCGGCGACGGGTCGGGGTTGGGCAGAGTTGATTCCTTCTATGCGATTGTCAGCTCCAAATCCGAACGATGTCCTGGATACTTTTTATCACACATACCTTGACCTGAGATTTCACATTTTGAGGGGCAGTGGCCGTAGTCGCGAATCGACGCTGTACTGGTGACTCGAAAGCAGGGACGAATTTGGATGCGCGAGGCAGACGGCGCGCGGCCACACGGAGGGCAGACATGGCAAACTTTTGATTTATAAGAATAGAAGAGAAACCAAAACTAATCTACGGCCAAAGAGAGTGAGAATCGTAAGAGAACCGTCTGATCGGATCAGCGACATGCCGGGAGAAATAAAAAATGGCGATATCGGGGTCGGCAATCTTAGTCACATCGGTGGAGTGAGTCAACAAACCCCGAGCTCCCGAGATCTCCCTGTGCTTTGTGCATCGTGCAACTCCAGACTTGCCTCATTGGATATATCATTCCTTGCATACACAGATATACAAACACGATGGTTTATACTCTCGTTATTCGCCGTTCAGTCCTCTCGGCTGCCGCAGCCCGCGGTGCAATTCGGCCACTCTCCACAACTCGATTCCTGCGCCAGAGTGGCGACGACAAGCCCATGCCCTTCTCAGACTCCCCGGCTCCCCCGCGTCTCCCGAAGGAGGAACAGGAGATCTTTGAACAGCTCCAGAAACGTTCGACTGGCGCATTCAGCACACCTCAGGTCAACCAGTCTCCACAGACCGAGATTCAGGCGGACGGCAGAGGTGGCGAGCTTCACCCCGATGCGCCAAAGGGACTGCAGCCTGAGTTTGAGGGCGAGAAGAACCCGAAGACTGGCGAAATTGGCGGACCCAAGAATGAGCCTCTACGGTGGGGCGCAGCTGGTGATTGGAGCTATGGTGGTCGCTGCACTGATTTCTGAGTGACTTGACCAGAGATTTGCATCATGTTGGCGTTGGTGTTTCTTGCCTAGGGATATAATGTCTCCGTAACGGAGATGGAGGGGTGGGTGTTGGTTCTGGTTGATCACATCTACAGTGTACATAACAAAATGGCTAGACTGACAATGCAAAGCATATTTACGTGTGGTGTTGGCAAATATGTGAAACCCATTGGAAACTAATAAATACACCGGACGATGACAAGCACAGACTATAGGATAACTTATCAAAGTGACGCTTTTTCTGTTGCGAGACGGGCGAGAGTCGCTTTTCCAGCCCTGCTGCCATTAGCTCGGCCCAGCTCCTCACTAATCCAACCTCCGATTTTCGACATCTCATCTAAGCTGACCCCGGTATGCATTCCCAGGCTGTGAATCGTGTGCACAAGGTCCTCCGTCGCCACATTCCCTGTCGCGCCCTTAGAATACGGGCAACCACCAAGCCCAGCCACACTGCTGTCGAAAATGCGGACACCATGCTCCAGGCCGACGATTGTGTTCACCAAAGCCTGTCCATAGGTATCATGGAAGTGCAACGCCAAGTCTGTGTTAGCGATGCCAGCAGCCTTGAGGGCTTGCATGAGCTCCATGGTCCGAGGAGCGGTGCCCATACCCGTTGTGTCCGCCACTGAGACCTCATCCGCTCCCATCTCCAGTAGGGTGGCGGTAATATCAGCCACCTTGACAGGATCCACATCGGGGCCTTCATATGGGCATCCTAGTGCAACAGAGACATATCCGCGTACCCGGATATTCTTGCTCCTTGCCAATGCGACAATCGGCTTGATGCGCTCCAGTGACTCGGTAATGGAGCAGTTGGTGTTAGCTTTAGAGAAAGCTTCCGTTGCTGCAGCAAAAAGAGACACCTCTGTAGTCGTCGCTGACTTTGAGGTCTCCCCAGTCGCGTCCGCGGAGACTCCTGTGTCATCCAGGATCTTGACCAGGTTCTCCAGTCCTCTGATGTTGGGGACAAGATAATTGTATGCAATTGTAGATTGTGCTTGAGGCGGTTTTGTAAGGAGGTGCTCACAAATCTCAGCTGTGCTAGCCATCTGTCGTAACGTAAGCAAATCGGTTTTTATCGTCTGGAATGGCACGATGATGCTCCGCTGAGGTCATACCTGGGGTACCCATTTTGCGGGCACAAATGAGCCAGCTTCAATGGTGGTGACACCTGTCTTAGCCAGTCGCTCGATTAACTCAAGCTTTGTTTGCATTGAAATTGTTTTTTTCTCATTCTGCAGTCCATCCCGAGCGCCAACCTCCACGATGCGGACATGGTCCGATGTTAAGCGCGACTCGGTCGAGAAGCGGCGTGCAGAGTATGGAGATCGTAGGGCAGAGAAAAGACTCAACCTGGGGCGGGTTATCGTCATAACGAAGTTCAGGCCAACTTGTACGACCACAGAAACCAGAATTGTAAGAGAAATGGCAGGTAAAAGGGTGAGCTTGGGATCATGGAACTGTGGGAGCCGAGAATGCGGAGAGCGCTTTACCACTTCCGGACTAGTACATCACCCCACCTCCTGCTGAGTCAGTCGGCAGAAAAAAAAGAAGTGGGATGATATCGATTCCAACATTTGTTATCAAGATCAGTGAAACCTCTAATTCTTGATATCTTTTGACGAATATTACAGCTGAATACCATGGAGCCAAGCATTCCTTCGCCCTCCACTGAGGATGGCTCACAAGCAGCAAGCCAAATGCGGCAACCAAAGAAGAGATTTGTCGGACGACGAACAGCAGATGCCCAAGCCCAGAAAGATACGACCAGTCAGAAAGATGTCGAGTCCACAGCGGTGCAAACAGGTATATACCGAACTATAGCTCAACTGAACTACCCATACTAATTCCCACTCCCTCCAGCCGCTCCCAGACGCACACCCCGCACCCTCAACCAAGTGCCACCAGAGATTCTGAACGATCCCGAGATCCAAGAAGCAATTGAGCTTCTCCCCAAGAACTACTCATTCGAGATCCCCAAGACAATCCATCGAGTCCGCACATCAGGCGCCAAGCGAGTAGCCCTCCAATTCCCAGAGGGACTCCTCATCTTCGCGACAACCATCTCCGACATCCTAACCCAGTTCTGCCCTGGAATCGAAACCCTCATCATGGGCGACGTCACATACGGCGCCTGTTGCATCGACGACTACACTGCCCGCGCCCTAGGCTGTGACCTGCTAGTACACTACGCGCACAGTTGCCTGATCCCCGTCGACGTAACGCAGATCAAAACGCTCTACATCTTCGTAGACATCAGCATCGACACAACCCACCTCCTCGCAACACTAGAGCGCAACTTCAAGCCCGGCCAGTCGATCGCAACAGTGGGCACGATCCAATTTAACGCGACACTCCACGGCCTGAAACCCGTGCTAGAGCGCGCCGGTTTCCGCGTCATAATTCCACAAATCACCCCGCTCTCCAAAGGCGAGATCCTCGGCTGTACATCACCACAACTCTCCGACACCGAAATCGACGCAATCCTCTACCTCGGCGACGGCCGCTTCCACCTCGAATCCGCCATGATCCACAACCCCTCCATCCCAGCCTACCGGTACGATCCGTACTCGCGGACCCTGACGCGCGAGAGCTACGAGCACGAGGAGATGCACACGATCCGCCGCGACGCAATCGCCACAGCCAAGACCGCGCGCAAGTGGGGCATTATCCTCGGTTCGCTTGGTCGACAGGGTAACCCGCACACGATGGCGATGATCGAGCGACACTTGCGCGACCGCGGCATTCCAATCGTTAACTTGCTGCTGAGTGAAATCTTCCCTGGGAAGCTGGCATCTATGGCGGATGTGGAGTGCTGGGTGCAGATTGCTTGTCCGCGGTTGAGTATTGATTGGGGATATGCGTTTACGCGGCCGCTACTGACGCCGTATGAGGCGCTTGTTGCGCTGGGGGTGCGCCAGGACTGGGAGGCGGGGAATAAAGGCGTGTATCCGATGGACTTCTATGCAAAGGAGGGGCTTGGGCGGACGAGGCCGGGGCAGGCTTAGAGGTCGGCTGTTGGAAAATAGAATATATATACCCCATTATAGACTCAGGGCAGCAGGGCTGGCCTCTGCTGAAAGGTTATGACAATGATATACATGTTGATATGTTTCCTTTTATTATCACGAGCTCAGAATATACACGTAGAGCAGGAGTATTAATAACCGCCGGGCTATCGAAGGCACCGACGAAAGACATCATGGCATTCATTCACAAATCAAATAAACTGATCTTAATCAAATACAAAGTTCATAATACAAGATGGCGTTCCAAATCAATTACCCTTTCACATCATCAGTACTATCGGTGTTGGGTTCACTGGGACTTCCACGCCGAAGGGAGAGGACATTCTTATTAGCCAATTCATCAGCAGTGCGTTCAGCGGCCCGCCATCGGGTAACAGCCTGCTGAACATCCTCAAACATCTCCAGCGAGTCGTGAATGATACCGCCTTCACCGGAATCGGCCACTTGAGTACTCTCTCGCGAACCACGGTCACTAGACATGGGAAAGGCGGGCCCGAATCCTCGTTGCGGAATGGGGTTGAACATGATCGCGTTGGCGAACATGCGAATCAACTCTTTCTCCAGTTGTGCAGAGTTCACAACCCCCTTGGGCGGTATGAAATCCTCATGCTTCTGCAACATGAGCACGCCGCTTTTAGACGGTGTGCCACCAGGAGCGGGAGACTCTCCATCCCCAGCTGGAGTGCTGGCTGCTTCTCCTGCAGTAGCGACAGCCTTGCTGCCCTGGTGAATGGCAGATTTGATTGACTTGAGGTCAGATGGCCGATAGATGAGATCATGGTAGCCAGGGGCGTCGCGCTCGCTAATTGGCTTGGCAAATATGGAGGCGAGCTTGTGGGTAGCTACATCGTTCATAATCGGTGCCGCTGTTCGGTGGAAGTTGCGCGTAGCCATGACATACTGAGTCGTGTCGAATCTCGGGATATCCGCAGGGTGGGGCTCAAGTTCCACTGCTTCACTTGCGCCGCGTTTACGTTTTGTCCGCGGTTTGGGGGTCCCTTCATCGGCGGTAACAGCTGTACCCTTTCGGCGGCCCGTCGCTCGTGGTTCACGCATGGTCTCTTCCGATGGTGCAGCAGACCCATCGCGCGAAGCCATGGATCGCCCACGACTCCGAGAAGAGCCCGAACTCACGGCGCGCGTCCTCCGAATTGGACCTAGTTTCTCGGTCTTGATTATGGGGGCGGGTTTGATGTCAGACTGGCCGCGTTGTGGTTTCTTATCTTCTGCAGATTGAGCTCGTTGGCCTAGATTAATCTTCGGCGGAGGTGACATTTCCATCGCATCAATAGGTGATTGGCCTCGTTCGCTGATGGGACTGACGTCCTCCGGCCGTGGCCGTGGCGGTGAGCTTGGAGAGCGTGAAATCCTCGGACGAGGAGTTCTCTTCCACGGTGTGGAGGAGCCTTGTGTGTCAATTGACAAGCGTGGATGAGAGGCGCGCGTTTCAGAGAAAGATGGGAATGTGGCGCTCGGTGTTTGGGAAACACGCGGACGGCCAATTGGGACAGGTGTGTGAGCTGTAGACGGGACGGCACTGGGTGTTTGTGGAACAGGAGGTTGGATGGGAGTCTGGGCTTGTGACCCTGGCAAAGGCGGGTTGGTGGAAAGTGGTAGTACAGGTCGCTTGGTAATGGCCTGGGCTGCTTGAGGTGTAGCAGCACCTGGGGAGACGACGGGGTATGGTGAGTGGGGAGAAGGATCTAGCTGCCACTGCTGGAAACTCGGCTGAGCGGGGGTTCGCTGAGACGCCGACGTCAAAGGGCCAGCCTTACCCGTAACAATTGGTGCAGGTGGGACGGGATTGGCACGAGGAGCGATTTGCGACGGGTGTGCAGGTGTGACTCGCGGACCGGCTGGTGTGGTTGGAGGGGGTTTCTGGGTAGATGGAGCAAGTGGAGGTTGGATGGACGGTTTTGGTATGGGATCAGTGGTGGTCGGCTGCGGTTGAGATGCTTGCCCAGCTAAGTCTTGCGGTTTGGGTGTCGGGGGTTGCGCTTGGGGAAGGGGAGCTTGAGATTGGTTTATAAGAGGGGCGGGTTGTATTGTTGGAGGCTCCTTTGTCGTGGAGGGCACATTTGTTGGGATATGTTGTGGTTCGGGCTTCGCCTTCTCCTGGTCGAGCGGGATGGTCGTCGCAAGAGGTTGACCTGTCTGATCCTGTACATTTGGGCGCGGCGCCTCTTCCTTCAGAACATCATCCTTTCCTTCGATAGACACCGGTTGCACCGGTGTGAATGCTGTAGCTGCCGCAGCGGCTGATTTGCTGTCCTCCTGCTGTAGCCGTTCCAGCTCAGCCCTGATTTCTGTATACTTTTTCTCATCGTCCCTAATTTCGGTGGTGACCAGATCCCTGTATTTGTCGTAAAGGTGTGCCACTAGCTCTGGAACGAGCGTGGTGTGGGTGACAGCCAATCCATCTGATCGCGGACTGGAGATCTTGCGTTTCTTCGGACTAGGCGGACTGGAGGTATCTGCGGAGCGTCCATTGAGCGAGGGCGCACTATCACGACTAAATCCGTCGCGCATTAATGTCGCGTAGAGGTCTTCTAGCGCCTCCGGGGTCAGGCGATCGGCATCAAAATCGACATTCTCGCGCACGAGCTGGTTGTTTCGCAAGAAGGTTGATATTGAGCCGAAGCTTGTCGGTCGGGAATCCGAAGTCGCTAGGGACTGGAAAAACAGAAGGGATTCAAACGAAGTGTATGCCGACAGAGGAGGCATCCCCCATTGCCCGTCCGGTCGGCCACTGGGGGAAAAGGCTTTGAGGATGGGGGCCACGGTGGTCGGTGATCGGCGATCAGGGTGGTCACGGAAAGTGCTCGGTATCGCTGCACTGTGAGCTTTGGGGGCTAGGTCGGCTAGTATTTAGAGATAGCGAACGCGACAGGCTAGAAACGCAATACGCATGACCCTTCAATCTATCCGCGCGAAAAATTGAGCGGGAAAAAAATCAACGGCGACCACAACGGGTCAGATAAAACACGTCGGATTACAGATGGACGAAGCGACGAGATGAAATGCCCCTGTAGAATTGAAATGCCGATGGAAATGGAAATGGAGACTGAAATTGAGGAGATTCACGATGCTACTGTACTGTATGGTATAGGTCATGTGACCAGTTGCCAGGGAGGAATCTGCCAGAATGCAAGTTATGCAACGTACGACGTGCTGTGTATAAGTTATTAGTCTAAAAATCTATAGATCTGAATGTTTTCTCTAATATCTGAAAGCATAGACGTTTTCAACCTTATATCTTTCGAGTCCCGTAGAAGTGAGGGTATGAAAATCCCCTAGTCCCCTAGTCCCCTGATCCCTTGCCCTGAAACCCATGTCAGGGGCTAGTTTGCCTTTTTCTATAAAGGAAGCCTCTTAATTTCCAATTTCCTGTTTCAAAGGTGAACCAAGTACATACATATGCTGTATCAACCCCTATTTCTCTCTATAGACAGAATGCTAAGAAAGAAGAACCATACACGTAAACCACGGAAGTATAAAATAGTTAGTCAACCCCTGAAACAAACCTTGGAAACCCCTATATATCATCAAAATACGACGCATAATGGCGTAGAATCCCTGTAATACAGTTGTAACACTTACGAGCTCTCTCCTTGCCGGTGGAGATATATGGGACCTCCAATTTCCGCGACTAGTAACATAGTCGGTGGGCTTATGATCATCTCTCGTTTCGCACTTCTCTCCTTCTTTTCCCCCCTTTAGCTTCCTGGCTCCAAAGTTCTCTGCTTATCACTCTTCGATCGCATCGCGACTGCTATTGATATCTGGTATCTCTTTCACCTTCCCACCGGATTGTGGCTTATCTGTCGAGAAGTATAAAGGACTGACCCTGTTTTGTTTTTCGAACAGCATCAAACCCCTCGATTCATTTTCATCTGTGCTTGATTCTTGGCGGTCCTGGTCTCGACGATACCTAAACCGCCTAATACCTTATCCTGCAACTTGCTCTTGCCTCGCCTGTCTCAAGGTCGCATACCCCTCTGTCGCCGTTTAGCTGTTGGGACCCGCGCTATGTTCACAGAAACCAAGGAGGTCGAATCATCAAACACGATGTCCGACATGGATCGCGAGTGGAAGCCGAAGGTTCGGCCTCAGTCGTTCGTTCCTCTATATTGTCGTTGGAGCTTCGGATAGTAGTGTTAACCGTGACCTCAGGACCATGGCGCAAGCATTCTCGACGGCCTTGGACAGCGCCTTCATGCTGGACTCTGACGTCGACAACCTTTCGCAAACCATTAGCCAGAAGTGAGTGGCACTTGTTCATCCCTTTATCGTCGATATCGCGACTCTCGCTGTTATCACGACCCTCATTTTCATGGCGCTAACCTCAAAGCCAAGGAAACAACAGATGTTGATCCAGACCCGTGAATTGGAAGAGCTGCAGAATCGCATCCGCGAGGCCGAGAGGCGCCTCCAGTCCCAGTCTACCTGGAGTGACCACGCTTCGTCCCAAACCAGCCAGGGACAAGACCAGTCAGCTGGTGAGCGCTCAACTTGATTTTTTGCGGGCCGATTTTGATATAGCTGGCCGGGTTTGCGCTGTAGCGGGATCTGACTGTGTAACAGCTTCCCAAGAAGGATCCAACAACGAGCAGCAGCCGGAGCAGTCTGAACCGTCTGAGCAGTTTGAGGAATCTGAGCAGTCTGAGCAGCGGAGAAACAACTGAATTCCGAACATCTGCGGTATCAAGATCTGGACGGTCAAAATATAGGCCACCGGATTCCTGGAGTCGGGACTAGATTAAGGCTGGGACGAGCGCATCAGGGCGGAAATCTCAAACGATCCGTGATATTGGACTCGCGCCGCGTCTGGTAGACGCAATATGTCCCAGTCGGCGTGGTTATTTTATAGGGATGATGTTTTTAGTTTTATCTTTTTTTTTTCTAGCATCCTTTGAGAGACCCCCTTATTGTATGGATATGGCCTTGGAATATTCCCAAGATCGTCCCCCATTTGCACTGCTACGGCGATGCGATTCACCCATGTCTTTTTTTTTTTTTTTTTTGCCTTTGTGCTTGAAAATGAATTCTTTCAATCAGACTTCCCGGACCCGAGATACTATCTGCATATTTATACCCTGGGGTGATGTACCTCTCCGGAGTCACTGGAGATATAGTTCCGGGACTTGTCCTGCAACCCCAGGCCCGAGCCGAATGATAAGCAGGCGACTTGTTGATGGGCTTCCAATGGCGTCCAATCACAGACGTGCAGTCAGAAATTGAACGCCCAACTATCCACTCGATTCCGTCATTGTCCCTGTTTCCCTGGTCGAGGCGCAGAAACCAGGCACGGACTTCGAGGATCGGACTTGATGTGCTACGGAGCTATCAGCTCCTGGAGAGCTGCGGGGTATGATTTTGTGGCTTTTATATGCTTCCTTACCTGTTACGGATTCTCTGCATGGTGGCAACAGTAAGCTAATCCTTTCCGGGCTCCTATAACTTAGGGTTTGACGAGGATGTCATGAGAATATATTGTTTCATTTAAATTCTTCGCTATGGTTACTCTCTTGATTTTTGAAGCAAGGTCCTTGGATGTTAGGTATAGTGAACATCAACAGTACAATATAGACAACCCTGATTGTTATGGTTTTGGGTTTCGCTTCGGAGGTCCATTTTCTAGATAGCCTGTGTAGCCTGTGTAGCCTGCTAGAGGATAATCTACATCTTTACACCAGAGAATCTATAGCGTGTAGGTTGCTATAACCGTTTCGATTCTTCTAGACTCTGCCGCATTAGAAATAGTACCGATCCTTAGGAGAGTTCCGTATGAAAACAACCTGCTTAAAGATGGATATACAAGTTGTGCTCGGTACATATGTCTTAGAGATATGGGAGGTGGATCTAGGGAGTGGGCCTGGTGGCAATTCATTTGATTGCAATCCACTCTGGATTTCTTTTCTTTTTCTTCCAAGCTTATAACATATGCTGTGCTTATTCCAGGCTATGTCAAGCTACATATCGCCTCAACTTAGTTGTAACATGAATGTCTCAGCTACAGCGCTATAAAATGATAAGAACACATTCCCGATGCCAACGTTCAGCGCTAGAACAATCGGGCCGATATTTGGGCACCGTCCACTCCGTATCACCAAATCGACACAGTTCTCGCCAGACCATCATGATTTGTGATCTTTCATTTGTTCCCCGCCTTATATGGGGTGAGATATGGACTCTTTTTCCACCTTGGTAGTTTTGTTGTAAAGCACTACAACGTAGCAAATTCGACGCAAAGGCAGAATAAGCGAGACATAAGAGCTTATAGCTATTTATATAGCTAATCCAAAGTCAATTGATCTCGTAGCTATTTCGGGCAAAAGCGAGGTCCATGACCTGCACACCTTTCCAGGCCCGAACCGAACATAGTCATATCGGCCAATCAGCGGCCCTCATTCCCTAATGCGACCCGATTCTCCACCCGAACCTCGACTGGTGGACCGGTGGGACAGTGATTCACGTCATTTTCTCCAGGGCCGCAGGTTGGCACAGACTGCACCTTCGACAGGACTCCCCTCCATTCTGGCCGATTGCTTCCCCCCCTCTCTTCGTCTTCATTTTCATATATTTTTTTGTTTGGCATTAACTTGGCTACTGCTTTGCAATCGCCATTATGGTCTTAATCGATGGGAAAGAGGTCATTACCGAGGAAGAGAAGCGCCTAAAGGAAGACCGCGAGAGAACCAAGTATTGGAAGGTAACATCTCTCTAACTTGGAACTAGCTTGAGAACACTCCTGCTAACTACTTCGACAGCGCTGGGGACCCTATGTGGTAAGTCGAGGCCTTGGATAGCTTTGAAACAGACAGATTGGCAGTGCTAAAAGCTCTATTGGTATAGGCGGAGAGACAGTGGGCCACAGGTGAGATCTGCAAATCATACCAAATCGAGAAACAGCGGGCTAATGCCGCTTTACCATGGTATAGTCAGAGAGGATTACAGCGAAGACGGTGACGCCTGGAGCTACTTCACCCACGATCACGCAAGATCGAGAACTTTCCGCTGGGGCGAAGATGGAATTGCTGGTGTATCAGATACGCACGGCATTCAGAATATTGCCTTTGCGTTTTGGAATGGCGAAGAGTAAGTCTAGACTCCGTTCGAAGACCGTGTCTGGTCATGGAATCTAACGAGAGCACAGCGACTTCTTGAAGGAACGCCTGTTCGGTTTGTCGAACCCTCAGGGTAATCATGGTGAGAGTGTCAAGGAGGCACATTTCCATGTGGACAACACCCCAACGGTAAACCCTTCTTTAAATTCAATCCCGTTATCTCAGAATGCTGACCCGGAGTATAGCACTCCTACATGAAATTCCTCTACAAATACCCCCAGAGAAAGTTCCCTTACCAAGACCTCATCGATGAGAATGCAAAGCGCTCACGCTTGGAGAAGGAGTACCAGATCCTTGATACTGGCATCTTCGACGACAATCGCTACTGGGATATCTTCATCGAAACTGCCAAGGAGGCCGACGATGAGGAAGAATTGCTCTTCCGTGTCATCGCGTACAACCGCGGCCCCGAGCCTGCTCATCTACACATCGTCCCCCATGTCTGGTTTAGAAACACGTGGGGCTGGGGTGACGAGAAGAAAAAGGAAAAACCATCTATCAAGAAAGAGGGACCCATGGTGGCCAAATCGAAGCACAGCGCAATCGGCGAGCGATATGTCTCCTTCGCGCCATCACCTCCAGTTGGATCTAGCGATGACGATATTACGCCTCAGATGATGTTCACCGAGAACGAGACTAACAACAAGTTCTTATGGGGTACCGAGAACACCACCCCCTATGTAAAAGACGCATTCCATCGTCATATTGTCGACGAAGAGAAAGGCGCTATCAACCCAGACAACGAAGGTACCAAGTTCGCTGCGTGGTACGCTTTCAACAACGGCGAGGGAGTTCCTCCCGGCGAATGCGCCGTTGTTCGTTTCAGAGTGTCCCGTAAAAAGGAAGAATTTGTCGACGAAGAAGTTCTGGACGATGTGATTGAACAGCGCCGCACCGAGGCGGATGAATTCTACTACCACCTCAACCCTCTCCCCATGAGCGAGGATCTCCGCAACATCCAGCGTCAAGCTTTCTCCGGAATGATGTGGTGCAAGCAGTACTACAACTTCATCTGGGATCAATGGAGCAACGGGGACCCAGGTGAAATTCCTCCTCCGGCGGGCCGAAAGGGCATTCGCAATGAGCAGTGGCGTCATCTGTACATCGACGACATCTTATCGATGCCAGACTCTTGGGAGTACCCATTCTTCGCTGCGTGGGATACTGCATTCCACTGTATCCCACTGGCTATGATGGATCCCGATTTCGCAAAGAAGCAACTCGATCTTCTCACCCGTGAGTGGTACATGCACCCGAACGGTCAGCTGCCTGCCTACGAGTGGAACTTCGGCGACGTGAACCCTCCCGTACACGCATGGGCTGTGTTCCGCACGTTCAAGATTGAGCGGAAGATGTACGGACGACAGGATCTGGACTTCCTGGAACGTGTGTTCCAAAAGCTGCTGCTGAACTTCACCTGGTGGGTGAACCGCAAGGACTCCGGTGGCAAGAATGTGTTTGAGGGCGGCTTTTTGGGACTCGATAACATCGGCCTATTCAATCGCTCGGAGCCGTTGCCCACTGGTGGTGTGCTTGAGCAAGCTGACAGTACTGGTTGGATGGCCTTCTACTGTCTGACTATGCTCAACATAGCCCTGGAGCTGGCTAAGCACCGTCGCATTTACGAAGACATTGCATCCAAGTTTTTCGAGCACTTCCTGCTCATCAGTGATGCAATGACCTTCCGTTCGGGCGATGACACCGTGCAGTCCCTCTGGAACGAAGATGACAGCTTCTACTACGATGCCATCTCCTACGGCGGGCCATGGACCCAGCAGCTACCCATTAGGTCCCTCGTCGGTTTGATCCCGCTGTATGCGGTTCTCACCCTAGAGCCCGAGCTCATCAATAAATTCCCCTCGTTCAAGCGGCGAGTGGACTGGTTCATCGAGAACAAACCAGACATAGCCGAGCGCAACATCGCCAGCATGAAGCGCCGCGGCAAAGACGACCGACTCCTACTGGCCCTTGTCAGCAAAGACCGTCTCGTCAAGATCCTGGAGCGAATGCTCGACGAAACAGAGTTCCTATCCAAGCACGGTATCCGCTCCATGTCCAAGTACCACGAAGACCACCCCTACTCCATGGACGTCAACGGCCAAACCTTCAAGGTCGGCTACGTCCCCGGCGACTCCGACTCCTCCCTCTTCGGCGGCAACAGCAACTGGCGTGGCCCGATCTGGCTCTGCGTCAACTTCCTCCTCGTCGAGTCCCTCCTCCGCTTCCACATGTTCTACGGAGACACCCTAAAAGTCGAGTGTCCCAAGGGTTCAGGGGACTACATGAACCTCGGCCACGTAGCAGAAGAACTGCAGCACCGCATGCAGCACCTCTTCGCCCGCAACGACGAAGGCCGCCGCGCTGTAAACGGCGGCTCGGACCTCCTCGATTTCGACGAGCACTGGAAAGACAATCTCTGGTTCCACGAGTTCTTCGACGGCGACAACGGCCGCGGGCTGGGGACATCGCACCAGTGCGGATGGACAGGTCTGATCGCAAAGATCATCCACGACACCGGTATCAACTGTCGTCTACCGCAGACGCCGCGGTCGCCCTTC